TGATAGAGCTCGAACCGAGCGCGATTTTCGTCAGAAATCCTCTGATGAGCTTCCTCATTAAAATTTTACAAGCTATTTTTCAAACGATAAAAATCGCTGAAATCAAGAACTCAATGAGTGCCGTTGATCTACCATTAGAGACCTCCGTAAAAACTTCGTAGTCGGAACACATTTTGGTAAAAAGTTCTCAGTTCAGTCTCAACTAAGATCGATTATCGGGAGCAAGGTCAATCGCTCTCATACTTCTGCCAGGTAGTTCAGTATGGCCGCCGGAATGGAGTGTTCTCGAGAAACCTAATGTCAGTCACAGCTATTTATCACGCTTGCCACTTACGCCTTTCTCTTCTCTCTCACGTTCGATCAACGGGTTCTCTCAACGTCACAACTTCTAATTTATGATTACTACTTGTTTACGGTGTTTACTACTTTTGTAATCATAAGTAAATGAGTGCATACCACTACCAAAACAAACAAGCAAACAAAATCCAAGAAATGTTTTACGTGCGTGGCACAACAAACAAAGTGATATTGGTTTGCTGCTTCATGGTTATGTCAATGCTAAGATTTAAGTAGGGCCAAGAGAGACCTTTAGCTCATGGCAACATCGGCAAAATAGGGTGTCATCGTTGGTGGGACTTCTATGGCCAATGCTTTGAAATCTAAACAAACTAAGCTGTTCACCAGTCAGGACTTCACTGAGCAGACACTTTTCATAATTTTCGTTCATAGAGCTGGCTCAGATCACGATTAGTTAAGGGAAATACCTGTTTCTCAGACATTCCACTACAAGATGAAAAATTCCCTAGTATTAGGTTGGTAAAAAAGTCGTTTGACAATCTTTTTTGTTTTATTTTTTATACAATGGAACTTTCTCAACAACATAATCACCATTGCTACTCACTACAGTGTCCCACTAATGGCAGGTCAGCGATCCCCTTTCCCCAGAACTGAGGAGATTGGGAGTCAGAGAAAACGCTCAAGCTCTTCAACTCCTGCAAAAATTTCGTAGCTAGGAATGTCTCGAAGGAGCAAAAGAAATGATAGTCAGAGAGAGCGATGACAGGGAAATGGTGTGTCAGCTCCTTCACTTTTTCACACGTCTTTTTGGTCATATTGGGCCTGGTGTTATCGTGGAATAGAGGGCGGAAGCAGGTTTTGGTCTCCCTTCTTTGACTCTCGATCTCCTCAGCTCTAGGAGAGGGAAGTCGCTGACCTGTTCATTAGGTGGGACTCTGTAGTGAGTAACAATGGTGATTATATTGTTGAGTAAATTCCATTGTACGCGGAATAAAATAAAGAAGAAAAAAGTGTCAAACGGCTCAGGACTTTCTTACCATCCTAATCTCAAGGGTCATATCTATGTAGTTGTTGCTTAACTCCTTGCTGGTTGTGTCGATGATAATAGTTCTTCATCTTTTTAGGCTCCTTCATGTAGGCACTCGAAGTGTGTCCAGTAACTGCATGTGTTTGTGGTTGTTTAGTTGCTTTTTTCACATGTTCCATTTCGTACATGAGATGAATATAAATGTAAATGTAAAATGCAGACGAAAAATCTTCACCAGTAGAAATAAGCATTTCCAACTAACCACATCGTCCTAGGAATGTGAAGTCATCCACCTCTGCCGCCGAGCTCACTGAGTCATGCTTTCGAACGTGCCATTTCCCTGTAGCAGATTCTTCTAACCGCCCTAGTAGAAAGCCATTGAGAAGCTGTTAGAAACTCGAATGCGCTTCCCAATTATAAGTAGAGTGACTGATTCGTTCTAAATGTTTGTAGGTGCGTGGCTCAGTTCTTTTAGATGGAATCTTTCCCCTACCAACTAATATACTGAGAATTCAGCGGACTGCCATTAGTGGCTCGGCTCAATTTTTCTTGACTTTTGGTTGAGTTCTTCTGTATTTCTATTCGTACCCCTAGTTCCCTCTATTGGCGCATTCATTTGAGTGTGTAAATCAAATAAACAAATAAATGAAAAAAATGTTGAGGAAAAAGCCATTTCTTGGCTCTCCCCTCCTCCTGCCCCTTCTGGACATCATGTGACGATTTTCACTCGGCATTTTTTCCTTTGCGACGGCCACAAAAACTGACGTCACTTGGCCAGCTGCCGCGAGTTTCGACATCCACAAGAACCTGTTGTCAAAATGTTCACCGTTTGTCCATTAAGAGTTTTTCATTTGAAAAACTCGTTCTGCAATCGTTCTTATTTAACCGACTGATCACCAGGAATGCACATTAGGCGTTGTTTGCTCTGGTAGAGAGCCATTTTTCCTGACTTGTTTTACAACTCTCATTCTGAAGTACGCTGTCATATAGTTTTTTGTGTCCTTTTCTATAATAGTTTGTATATTATACGTAGAGACGCGTATTTGTGAACTGGGTCTATAGCACTCCTTTGGGTGAGTGCTGATTCGATGTCACAATACTCACTGTCATGGCCATCGATTCATGCAAAGCGCCGTGCGCGAGAGCCGTAGTCTTCAATGGCTGCCGTCAATCGTGATCTCCTGCGATCCTCCTAAATTTCAATTTCCTATCGATAAAAATCCACTACGAAATAATTATACATTTAATCGATGTGGGTGTAGATTCGATTAAAATCTATAATTATATATAAAGAAGCTCAATAGTCAACACCACCACTGTGCACGTTTTTATCTATTTTTTGCGGCTTGAAAGGTGTGCGAAATTTTTTTTTATACCCCGAGTAAACAGGAAACTGGAAGGCTAAAGACAAACACGGCATCATTTAGCAAGGTTGTATACCGTGAAAAGCACAGTTCACTTTTGTGACCTCAATTATTCATTAACTAAACAAGATGTTCCACGGGTGTTCCACAAGCACAGGGCGCACGCATAGTCGGTCGGACGACAGCAACGATCGTAACTGTCGCACAGCATTGGATGCGTATCGATCGTCGGACTTGCCTGAGTATTCGACGATTAGATGCAGTTAGACAGTCAGACAGTTGCGATCGTTGCTGTCGGACGACCGACTATGCGTGCGCCCTCACAAACGAATTTTTCGCGTTTCGCAGCGCGAATCATTGTTCGTTTGCAGGTCTCGATGATTGTCTGGGACCTCGGTCCACTGAATGATTAACGAGACATAATTCCAGCTGCGGAAAACCTATCGCGCTGCGAAACGCGAAAGACCGCTTTGTCCTAGCGAACCAACAACCCAAATCCACTTCGGAGAAACCTCGTAACGTGTGCCCTCCCATTGCCAACGCCCGTCCCGCCCTGCCAGCAAATTCAAATTTGTCACGCGTAAAAGCGCGTCTAATACACAATGAATTACGAGGCAGGTATTCATTTTTTGGTACCACGCTGTCATGAAGCACAAGTTCTTCGACAGCCGCGGAGATTAGACAGCGAATACACCCAGCGCAACTTCCAAATGGACGCCACACTGTTTTTACGACATTATACCCTGCACCGTCACCAAGGTGTTTATGTGTTTGCTTTTAAGTTTTCCACATTATGTTGTTGTTGCTGGTGGTTTCCTTTGCGCTTCGATGTACCTACGTGTAAACAAGACGGCGAAGTTTGTATAAAGCCGAGTTGATGTTGAGCCTTTTGAATCATAAACGTAAGACATCGCGACGTTCGTTGGCTTACGGCCGTTCATTCTGTTTACTTTTATGTGTCAGCAAACAAAAAAAAAACACTATTGTTGAATAACGATCGACGACTTACACAATTTATTTATTTTTGACTCATTCTAGCTATTTTCTCCGAAATTTTGTGCATATTATTTTACTGCACTGCATTTCCATAATCGAATGCATTTTGTATAATTATCAAACGCTATCATTCAAATGCAGATCGATTGCTTAGCTATCCATTGTGGGGTCCTAGAAGCGTTTGAATCATATAAGGTTTCCAAATGGAGAAGTGCTGCGTGGCGCATCCCAAAAATGATCCTAGTGATTTGTATGCCAGGGCAGGGTGAAAATCGTGTCGAGGAAATAACCGCCTCTTTACGACCCCCCTCCAAAACATGGACTCTGATACGACCCCTTTTTGTCCTCTGCACATCCGGTTTCATATCAAAAAATGCTAGTTTCAGATGTGCGAGAGGGACGCAGCGCCGCTGCCACGCAAATGCGGCTTGATCCAAATGCTAGAGATTCAATTCTGCTCAGATTAGGTTCTCCTTCTTTCCCTTTAAAGACATTTAACCTTTGCCACATTGGCCGGAAAGTAGAACATTGAAGGAGGTACTGCCCCTACACAGTTGAACAGTCTCGCGCTCCAGTATAGCGGCGCTAACTACCCGCGATCGCGTCGCGCGCTGTGCCTAGAGCGCGCTAGTTGGAAAAATCGTCAAATGTACCCCCTATTTAAAGGACTATAACTTTCTTCATTGATAACCATTTCAGAAAGTGAAGGCAGCTTTTGAATGCACAAGACTTCTAGTTTCTAAATTGTGCTGAGCGTTTTTCTAAGCACGCCTATTCTCGAGAGTGAGACGTCGAGAAATTGTCGAGGAAATTGAAATTACATGCGAGTTCCCTTCATTGGCAATGCTTTGAAAATCGGAGGAAAGCGTTGTAAAGTAGAAGATTTACGCTTTCTGATAGGTGCTCCAGTTGTTTCGAACGCTTTCTAGTTCGCGAGAAATCTGCGTCGAGGAAATGTCAAGGAAATTTTCGAAGTCCACTCGAAAACTCTATTACTCCGTAGTAGGGGGAACTTCTTTGAACACCTTCAAAATACTTCTGTACGCGTCAGTTCGATGGAGTAAATTGAAAATGATGCACTTGGCGCGGATCCATTCCGTTCTTGTATGCGCCATGCAGTGACCCCACTCGGAGTCATTGGGAAGGTGTTTTGTCCTAGTGACGACTTGCTTAAGCACACCAAAAGATATTTCCAAATTAAATTAAGAAATAACTCTTGTGGTCATAGTGATGTCTGATCACTCCTTTATTCAAATCGCTTCCTTTCCAACCCGTTCTGATGAATGACAGCTTGCGGTGGCAGGATCTGATGAATGCCAAGAAGGCTGCGAATCTGCCCGTTTTGAACTTTCTACCAAGATGCTGCTCCTCCACTAAGTTCTCGAAGCATGTAACATCATTCTAGAGTAGATACTCGCTGCCCTTTCCCTACGATTCTTTTGCAGGACGCGTTGCCTTCCTATGCCATACTGATCACTACGAACCAAACCAACAACCACTTTCCATTTGAATTTTAATTCCAGACAGTTGTAAGATATTATTTGCATTAGGCTAACTACAACACTTTGTGAAATTAATGATGACAGCAAATAAGTGGCAGCAGCACCGTTGTGTCCGTTGATGAACCTTTTGATTACGACCCCCTCCCAACTCTCATCGGAGCAAATACGACCCCCTGTCGAGGATTTCCTCGACCGTTATTCACCCTGGCCAGGTGAGATACGAGTTGGATACTCTGAGAATAGCCTAATAGGGGTAAGAGCTTCGAGGAGAATGAGAATTGCTCACGCACTCTAGAGTCTCCCCTCCGCCGCCTAAAGCTTGGTCCCGATTTGGACAGG